TTATGAACTCATATTTAATAAGAAAAAGGTTTCAAAGGTGATCCCATCTCAGCTAGTTCCTGGTTTGACTCCTGAATATCAAAATCACCATGGTCCAGTTTTTTAGTTGTTGTAAATCCTTGCTTGTGTTGCTGTAAGTCAGAAATAGTAACAGGACCTACCCAATATGCTGTTACGAATTTAAGGAAAGAAGAAGTGGAATGCTAAAGATTACTGATGGTGATTACTAATGTTGTTTGTACATTTGATTGGTATTATTTGTAGCTCTCACTAAAGTTACACAAGCTGAGCACTTACCTTTTCTTGCTGTTTGTCCATCTCCCTAAGACACCTCAGAGCAAGAGGACTCCTTTTATATCCTCAGTACCTGGCAAAAGGCTGAGCGCAAATGGTAACTGTCAGTAGATGAAAGACAAAATGGTGCCTCTGACAAGGTGACCAGGCAGGGCAGACACAGGCTGTCATCTGCAGCCAGAGTAAGCAGGGAGGGCCAGAGACAGAACATATAGAGTATGGTGCTATATACAGAGGGATCACACAAATCCCTTATTCAGAATGTAGGGAAAAGTGCTGAAGTGTTATTAAAAGAGATGCTGTAATGCCCTCCCTTATCCTTGGTCTCACTTTCAGAGATTTCTGTTACTGGTGGTCAACCATGGTCTAGAAATACAATTGTTGTGATTTCTCAAAGAGAGTACAGCTACATTCATGTCACTTTTACAGTTGTACTGTATACTATTATGATTTTCTATTTTATTAGTTATCAATCTGTTACAGTTCCCACTTTATGAATTAAACTTTATCATAAGTTTACATGTATAGGAAGACACAGTAAATCTAGGATTCATCACTATCTGAGTTTCAGGCACCCACTGGGTGGGACATTTTCCCTGCAGATAAGGAGGTGCTGCTGTATGAAAGGTAATCCTTTTTTCTTTCTTCAGTTTCTCTATTTTGACTTGTCATTGTCATTTTTTAATTGCTATTTCATAATTTTCTAAGTAGAAAAAATTAATATTTAAATTGCTAGTATGAATTTTACCACTGACCTTTATAATGTGCAGGGCTACTTAGAAATGCAAATGTGAGAACATTAAACTCATGCAGAATCAATGAAATTACATGGTTTGTATTTTATAGCTTATACATGCACATATATTCTTTTCTTATAGAACTGTGCTTTTTTTTTCAGATATTGAGGTTTAACTTTTTGTATCACTTCTTGATGTTATATTAGTGGGTTTTTCCATTATTGGGACATAATAACCAATACTCACAACTTAAAAGAGTAGAGCTTTAATTTTGCTCATGGTTTTAGGGGATTCAGTCCATGGCTGCCTGGCTCCAAGGCAGAAACATGGTGGAAGGGCATGAGAAGCAAGGATACTCAGTTCATGGTGGCCAGAAACAGAGCAGAGGAACAGCACCAGAGAAAAAGAGGTGAAGGACCAGGTATAATAAAGTCATGTTTGTGTGACCCAA